GCTGGTCAGCCGACAGGGCAGGGGCAGGGGCAGGGGCAGCGCTGGTCAGCGGGCAGGGCCGGCGGTCAGGGTCAGCGCTGGTCAATGGGCAGGGCTGGTGGACAGGGGTAGGGTCAGCGCTGGTCAGCGGGCAGGGCAGGGGCAGGGGCACCGCTGGTCAGTGGGCAGGGCCGGCGGGCAGGGGCAGGGCCAGCGCTGGTCAGCGGGCAGGGCCGGCAGGCACAGGGCTGGTGCTGGTCTCACCTTGCCCCAGTCTCGCTGTGAGGACGAGGTGGCCGATGCCATCTTGGACTTCTTCTTACTCTCCTTGAGCTTCTCACCGGCCAGCACCACCTCGCTGGCATCATTGCGACACTCGGGGCAGTACCTGGGATGACAGCAGTGTCGGTGGCCGCACTGAGCCTGGCTCCAGCCCCCACACCGCAAGCATACGACATACAGCTGCCTTCGACACATGACCTTAGAGGTCTGCCTGTTCACCACGACCTGAACTAAGTCAGTGTCACATGAGTGCGGTCCCTCGGCTCGATCTAGCAGACCTACGGCAAGGGTTCTAAAGACAACTCAGCTGACAGGACAGTTTTCAACATCCCAAGAAGTCTACCAGGGAACAGACTGGCCCTCTCCTGCTAGAAATCAACACTCAGCCAGAGGGTGGCAGAGTTAACTTCTGCAGAACGGGCGAGCATTGGGGTGGACAACTCGCTCCAGCCTCCACAAGGAGTGGGGTGCAACAGCACCCGTCAGAGCTGGAGGAGCAGACCTGTGAGCCCACACAGGGTCCCGCTCGAGTCTGATCTTCCTAGCCCGTCTCCAGTTCCCCCAGGCCTCTGTGGGGTCTCCATGTCCCCGGTGTGGCGGAGCTAGCACCCTGCCCGAGGTTCAGTGTGTGGACCCCGGAGGCTGCCTGGCTTTACTACAGCAAGAAGCTTGGTGCTGTCACCAGGGACAGCGCCGTGACCCTCCCAGTTACCGTCCCCACTCAGTGTCAGGTCTGTAGGGGGCTGGTGGGATCCCGTAAGTGAGCATCTCCCTGAGAATCTCGGAGATTCCGGCCCCTGGTGGGGGGCTCGGCGAGGAGGCTGCGCAGAAGGCCGCCCAGCCGTGCTCACCACTCCTCCTCGTCCGGCAGGCTGCTGAGCGGCGGCTTCAGGCAGTACAGGTGGAAGGCCATGTCGCACTCGTCGCACATGAGCTGCTTGTCCGGGTCCTGCTTGCCCCCACAGACGTGGCAGGCACACACGCGGCACGGCTTGCTCTCATCGTCCTTGCAGTGTTTGCATGAGGGCCCGCTCTTCCCTGGGTGCACAGGAGGGGAGGGGTCGGTCAGGGTCCCACCGCACCCCTCAGACACCCCTCAGGCCTGCCTGCTTTTCCCTGGGTGCACAGGAGGGAAGGGGTCGGTCAGGGTCCCACCACACCCCTCAGACGCCCCTCACAGACGCCCCTCGGGCCTGCCTTCCCTTCCAGGGCCAGCACTCACGCCGCACGGGGTTTTCCATCACTCGGTCGCTTTCCCCACCCCGCTCGATCTTGAAGACCTCGTCCATGAAGACAATCTGACAGTTGTCGATGGAATTGTTATCCCTGTGGGAGATGAATGGTCAGAGTCTCACTACACAGCCTGCAGGGAACTGCGGTACTAACTGAAAGGGTGACGGTTCAAAGCCAGGCTACAGAGCCAGGCCGCCTGCATCCCCTGACCACCAGGAGAAGGCTGTGCGGGCCGCCCCTGACCCCTGGGTGAAAACTGTGCAGGGCCACCCTGACCACTGAGGCCGCCCCTGACCACTGGATGAACGCTTCGCGGGGCTGCCCCATACTGCTGCTTTCAGCCAGCAACACACTTCAGCAAGCGTGCGTTCAGTTTTCTTTATTAATTGTATCAGACAAGAGGCTCTGCAGAAAACGACAAGCAGGCCTATCGTGCGGTGGAAAC